CAGCCTTCAAAGTGGAGGTACCATTGTCTATCACTACCGGCTGGTTGAGGAGGAGAGAGCTTCCGGAATCGCCCTCGGCCGCCGTTTCCTCCGAGGCCATGGTATTATATTCAAGCTCAGTTGTATAGAGTGTGTTCGATAAAGAGATCCTGGCGGCTGTAGTAGCTAGCTACCAGAGTAGTGACATTTGTTGTGGAGTGTGGAGGAAGGGGTTATTAAAGAGTTGGGAGGCTGCCATCATCGGCAGCTTCGTTTGCTCGCAACGCGAGATCGAAATGTTAACTCTCTCTACGGGTACTCCCATATGTCACCTTGCGTCTGGACGTCACGTTCGTTTGTTGAACAGTACGTACTCCGTAGTATTACAACGTCGTGTAGAGCTAATGTCATATTTGTACCGTACTTACTTACCGTACCAGGTACGACAGTACCTAGGTCTAATAGTCAAGGAAATTGAAAATTCACATGTCGGGAAAATGTGACGTCATCCACATTTTAAGAAAGCACGTTATATCGATCTTCATGCCTGAGGACAACATAAACTAGATCCTTTCCGAGTTATGAAGAGTCTCTTATCCGCATATCACGTAGTATCTTGCTACGATCCACTTCCCTTGACAGAGTTTAAGACTGAAAATCTCGACCCATCCGAACCACCGTTAGGTATCATCGGCCATGAACGGAAGTTTCCGATATTTTTGTTGAACGACTGCCACCATCCCCGTCACGCGTCCACCTACCAAAATAGGCACGACAGATTATTTTCAATCTGTCGATCTGTCGATTTTCTTTCATCGCGAGGTCGATGATGGGGGAGTAAATAAGTACTACTAGTATAATCAGGGACACCCGACAGCTGCTGTCGTCGAGCAACGTACCGTAGTCACTTCACTGCTCTCTGTGCAGCAAGACCACACATCTCTCTCCGAACAAAGGAAACTTCCTCGTGGCCGAAACGACAACAAAAGAAGATTTTATTGAGGAATCAAATAATTGCAAAGAGTCGGAAGGAGAGACATCAAAGCCTGGTGGCATTTCTCTATTCTATCCTCCACCATTTGTACCTTTCACTCATCGTCTGCCGTTACTGTTCCGTATTCAGATACCCTATCCCTCCATCATAGCTTTCACAGTCTCCATCTTCCAATCTCTCATCCAAACCCGTTCCACAGACCGATGAAAATGACTGGTACCAAATTGAAACACCATCAACTGCTATGGAACGGCATATCTACCTTATTTCTTTTATGGTTCACTAACTTACCTTTGCAAGTGGCGGCACAATCCTGTTTTGACAATTTCTATGACATTTACCAACGAGAGTCCATTGTGACGGACACGACGTTTCCTCGATTGTACACTGTTTGTCCTCGGACTATTTACGAGATTGCCACTTTGGACTTTAATGGCAATATCAAGGAACCCGTCGAGTCGGGCGTTCAACCACCACTTCCACTTCGCGCCAACATGACCATTCGTTGCGGGGATCTTGGAGCCAGAGACAGTTTGTGTTGGCTGGCGGGGGGCGACATTCACATGGATGGAACGGCTGTTCGAGGGATCAATGACGAGACCGTTGAGGGTGTGTCGATTGAAGGATTTGTATTCATTGGAGCGCGACGACATTCTCTGTGGGCCACCAAGCCAGGAGATATCACCTTCAAGGATTGCGAATGGAGGGTATGTGCGATGTTTTTGTAGATCGGCAAACCGCGATTTCATGAGTCTAGTGATTTCTCACATTCGGCTTCAATTTGCAACTTGTTGACAGGAGTTTGTAAGTTCACAAGTGCCTATCATGCTGGATTACTACGATGCCGACAGTCCATCAAGTAGATTGGTGGCGACGTTTGAAGATTGTGAATTCAAGGTACATAGAAAATAGAAGCAACGACACGGAATCCAAAATGATTCGACGACACCAATAATGTGCTCACACTTTTTTCGATTTTTCCCTTCTTGGTGGTACAGGACAATCGTTATTTTGGAATGGGATCAATGAACTCGTTGATATACGGAAACAGTGCACAAAATACAATCGTCGTCAAGCAGTCGCTTTTTCAATTCAATGATATGATCATCAATAATACAAGGGTACGAGTCAACAAAAATTCATATGTATTCATATTTGTTCCCCGTTGTATCTTCTCATTTTTCCTCCCCACCTTCATTCGCAGCCCGATACCCACAGTTTTATCATCGAATCACTAGGGCCAACGACTGTTGAGAACTCCTGCTTCCAAGACAATCTCGTCGGAGCCTCTGACATTGTTGTTTTTGGAAGTTCATTCGAATCGAGTACGAACCATGCTTCCAACAGTAGCGGATCTCTGTGCAGCTTTTCTTCTGTCTTTCAAAATATTCAGCAGTTTGATGCCTTTACACCAGATTGTGTCGAGGCCACATCCGATGCCTGTGCACGCTATGTCACGGGACCGCCCAGTATTGCACCCTCGGAGGGTCCAACGGCAGTTGCTTCAGATGCACCCAGCTTTTCCCCAACAAATGGGCCAACGACAACGCCTTACCCAACAGGTTTAGCATCCGATAGTCCTTCGCTGAGTCCATCGACACTTGGAGATGTTGTTGCGTCAAGCGAATCACCCGTGGAGTTTACTTTTCCCGACACATCAGTTCCCGCAGCTGGAAGTACCTTGTCCTCAACTGGAAAAGCTACTTCATTTTTTTGCATGAGCATCATCCTCTGCTATCTCTGCATTTAGAACGTTGCCTCTTCTCTGACGCAAGCTGGTAGGACTACTGATTTATCAGCTACCTCACCAATATCAAATCTATCATAGTGTAGACCAACATTGTATATTCTTTGGAATTTTGGTACAAGTAGCAGTTTGTAACTATATGGCTGTCTAGGTAGGTAGTAGGCTCGTCTTCCATAGATCAATACCCGTTGTAGTACTGACTGTGAAGGAGAGCAATAATGGGCTTCCCGTTGGCAAGATGATTTTGACTATGAGTGCGGGTAAGGTTGTCTACTCTGAGGAAAGCACTCTAGGTAGTAGGGCCACACCAAAGCTATAGGGAGCTTTAACGCAGTCCTTTTGATGGGAAGGTGGTTTGGAGTTCTACGACAGAGTACAGCGAATACAGTGAACCGCCCGGTCCTGATAGTATCTTTAATCTAATCTTTAAAGTACGACCTTGTGAGTGGTACATCGAATCAAGAACTCGTAAAAGCTCGAAAACACAATGAAAACATCTGTTGAACAAAAACATTCACACACTCAACACACAGTTCATGTTTTTGTCAAAAATTAATTTTCTTCGCCAGCTAACTGTAAACAACAAAAACATAAGATCGATACTATCCTCTCGCAGGTGATGTGCAATGTCAAAATTTTGGGCATCTTCAGACAGTTCCTCAACCCAACAAGACGAAAGTAATGACAACACAAACTATGGCGCTGAAGATACTGTGTCGCAACACATTCCATTAGAGTTTGAAGCAGAAGCAGGGCACTGCTTAGCATGTGATCCAAATGCGATTTGGGAAGAAATACGCGACAAACAACTGTTTGTAGGTGTACCATCCATTCCCGTAACTAGTACCTTCGACCGACGAATGAATAGCACCCGGCTCGTCATTATTAGTGACACGCATGGGCAACATCGCAATGTACATCTCCCAAAAGGCGACATTTTGATTCATGCGGGAGATTTTACCAAGACTGGCGAAGTCGGGACGATACAAGACTTGAGTCGATACTTTGAGGAATCTGGTTTTGCAGAAGTAGTCGTGATCGCAGGCAATCATGACATGACGCTGGATCCGGAGTATTACCAACGAAAGTGGCAACGATTCCATAGAATACCCCACGATTGTCAAGCGGTACAAGCAGCCATTGAGCAAAACTGCCATTATTTGAAGGATTCCACTTGGACCAGCCTATCTGGTCTGAACTTCTACGGGTCGCCGTTCTCGCCTGACTTCTTTGACTGGGCCTTCAATCGACCACGAGGGCCACCCATTCGACAGGTGTGGGACAAGATTCCAAGCCAAGAAGAACTTCCCCTCGATATTCTCATAACGCATACTCCACCTCTGGGAAGAGGAGACTTGACACAAGAATTTGTACTCGCAGGGTGCTACGATTTGTTGCAGTCGATTCAAACAAGGATCAAACCGCGAGTGAATATTTTTGGACACATCCATGAAGGATACGGTACGTCCTTCGATGGTCAAACCCTCTTTGTCAATGCCAGTAGCTTGGACGTGAGATACCAACCAATCCACCGTCCAATCGTCGTCGATGTTTCACACGCAGACAAAGCCGAGCCAGCTCATCTCGTCGAACCAGTGAACACTTACGCAACAACAAAGCTGGAACTAGAGCGGTGGTGTATGGATCATGGCTACAATGTTGTCACAGAGGCATTGAAGAAATGCGACGATGATGACTTGCCACTTGGAAATGATCTATTGAAGGCAAATGCACTGTCGAACCTTTTGGAGAAGTTGTGCTTGCATTACTCCAAAGAGGGACAAAAGGAGTTGAGAGACATGCTGGGGAAACTGTACGCCGAAAGCTTTTGATGTGATACTTTTGGTGGTACTTCAGATAGGGACAAAGATTGTTGCAAGGTGTGCTGGGGAACCAGACACTTTATGTCAAGATCTTTTGACGTGGAATATTTTTCAGAGGCATTTTTCAAATGAATACCAATGGTGGAAAAGATTCCTCCTACATGAAGTAACAGGTCTTGCTAACTGTAAATGGCTCACAATATTGCACGTATTGATTTGATAAATGGGGCTGACAGACTTAGTAGTTTGATCCAATTTTTTCAGCCGTCATTCATTTTCAAATCGGCACATCTACACAAGTGCAATAGTCTAGCTAGATGTAGAGTACAATACTTCGATGATTTTTAAGATGATGGCATTTAGCTAGCAATTCGTATGAAAAGAAAAAAGTAACAGGAAAGAGATAAAGCTTTCTTTCTCGTCTGTTTCACAGACACGATTTTCAAGGGGCAGAAAAAAAAAAGTATTGCTTCTCTTCGATTTTGCGTGTCATCCTTGCACAGGGACCATGCTAATCTTCTGCTCGAGTGATGTGGGACAGGAACATCAATTGTTAGATATTCAACAAGCTCATGATGTGCACGTATCAAGCATTTGTTTGGTTATCCTTACCTCTGTATATTTAAAGCTTTGTTTAATGGCTAGGTCCGAAGACCTAACCGAGTCACGTGAGGAATTTAAACTATATAAAGATAATACTATGTGAGTTTAGCTGTCTACTCTAACCCTAGCTCTAGCTAGCGTATAGAAAGCGTATGACATGACAAAAAGCGTAAGAAACTCGCGGAAGACAACCAAGTCGAACAAACTACCGTACCTTAACGGATGTACTGCACTCTTGAGAGATGGTGTCACCAAATATCGTGACTTGAGGAGACCAAACGGATGATACATTCCTTCAAGAATGGCACTCCAATAGAGTTGGCCAATCGACATAATCATTCATGCTGCTGAATCTTCACAGTGTGATGCAAGCACAGCACAACACCCACAGAAAAATCCAATCAAATACAAGAGCATCCTGATCGGACCCAATCTTCCGAAAAAAGTATCTTAATACAGGTCGTGTCACTTGTGGAGGGCCGCTCAAAGCTATCAACAATGGCGTTGTTCAACCAACGGGATAAATCATTCAACTTCGGAACTGGAAGGGCAAAAACCCTCTAGGTTAAAAGAAACCTTCCATATCAAGCACCAGTCGTATTTCCAAGGAAACGATACCGTCCCCATCCACTTGACACTTGACTAACTGTAAGTTACAACATGAGTATTAAACCATTTCCATCACAGAAATGTCAATGCCCACCACAACGCTATCAGGAATCAAACTAAAGCATTCTTCCTTCTCTCCCTTTAATTAAGAAAAACACAACCTTTTCGGTCGGACATCGGTCTACGAGCCATTCATGAGAAAGCATTCGATTGTAAACATTTCCCAGGATTGGCCTGTGGTTACTCCCTGAGTTGCGTCGTCCCTAGGGGCACGGAGGTTTAGCCAACTTCTGAGACGTGGAAATAGGTGGCAGCTAGTAGTTGGTAAAGCCATAAATTAATTTGATTATTCCTCGCCAACCTATTGTCACGCCAGCAGTCCACCAAAAAGATGTCACCACTGCCACTGCAACCAAGAACTGAAGAGAGGCTTCTAATTGCAGCTGTGTGACGTTCGGAGAATACCATGTTGTTCTTAACTCATTCAATCGATCTATCAAACAGATAACATATCTTTCGCACACCTCAAGAGAGCACAACAACTAACTTTTCGGAGAAAATCCAATGGAATGTAAACAACAACATTGTCCATCCAAGTTTTTTGCCACAACCGCCAGAACTATTCTCTTCGGAGCCAGTTGTGTCGGTGGTACTGGCACTATGTTCGTTATCGGCACTTTCTGGATTTGAGTCCACTTCATATTCGCTGTTGACGTCATCACCATTGTCCTCAATTGTGTTCTGGTCCTCGCCTTCCTCGTCTTGAGAATCTGCAATAATAATTTGTGGAGCATCAACTGCACACGTTTCTTCCAGATTTGTTGCGTCAAAGGTAGGGAGGGTAATGTAAACTTTCACTCCGCTCAACGTAATGGCTTGTGACCCAGACTTTGCATCCACGAAATTGTTGTTTGCATCGTAGGAAATCGCAATGGGTGAAAAATCCAACGATGGCAATGGTCTTGAGTGCGCCAAAGCAACCATGGCTTCTGCCAGATTATAGGCTAGTGTCCCAATCTTGACTCCAAGTGTGCTACCACTGAAAGGAACGCTGATATAGGCCCGGTTGCGAACAGCACGGAGTTGCCTAGCTATGGGGTGTTTGCAGAGATTCAAAATCTTTTCGTCTGGTCGAAGGAATGAATCAGCATTTCGTTAAAGGTTCCTTATCACGTGAGTATTGATGAAACAAAAATACTCAGCAAAAACTCACCGGCAGGGTCCCAGGAGGCATCCACCAGGACAATGACATCTGGATCAGCTGCAACAATGTCCTCCCAAGGCGCAAATTCCCAGCTACGACGTTCTTCGGTGCCCAAATTTCCAAAGATATTCTTTGCCCCGGCATGTTCCATGATGATTTGTGGCGATCCGCAACAAGCCCCCACATAAGGCTCGCTTTCGTCCCATGAATCGAGCCATAATACCTTGATGGCAGCATCTGGGTCGTCTGTGACTGCAGGTCGAGACACTTGCAATGCTTTGGCGAAATGGTCTTCAATATCTGCTTTGAGGGCGGCGGCACGATCGGGAACGTTGAAGATATTTCCAATATCGGCAAGCTCGGCGAAGAGGCCGCCCTCGACAGATAGATTTTCGGGGCGATGTTCCACCAGCTCACAAAAGGCTGTTTGCAAATAGGTTTGAATGCCATAATCGTGCAACTCGGGTCGGCAATATGCATTGTGGCCTCCACGACCTTCCAAGACAAGCTCACAGTCTTCTCCAAAGATAGAATGGTAATCAATGGACGAATTCGAGAAAGCACTGGAGTAGGATCCATACAAAAAATCAGGATTCACTGACATGAGGCTTTCAATGTCAGGATATGTATCAGAAAGAACAGGCACCTTATCGTATTCCTCCTTGTACAGTGGCCAAATCTCGTCGTCGAGGTACGCTGTACCAACCATGTGATCGACCAATCCCAACGCCAACATAATTTCGGTCGTACCCTGATTGAGGGTTACGACTCGTTGAGGAGGCCCTTTGATCACAGATGTCACGTTACAATTTGTGATGGTAACAGGAAAAAGGTCACCATCGCGCTGACATTGTCCAGGTAAGACCGTTCCGGACAACAAAAACAAGACCGAAGTCGAGGAGGAGGAGAACTTCATGGTGAATAAGAGGAACGTTTCGGGTACTGTGGTCGTAATGCAACACTGCGATCAATGTGGTTGTTGCTTGTAAGGAAATGTGAATTCCTGGGGATAGCAGCGGCCCTTTTCCAACGAAAAGGGTGGAGAGGTTGCTTGATCTTTTTTGCTTCTTGGAGTATCCTTTCACATGATCACCTAAAAATGGCCTCTTGTAGTCTCATTTTTGTGATTTCTGGAAAGGCCTTGGCGATTTTCGTTGTGGCCTGAACCGATTCGAACCTAACATCTCGCGTTTTCATTGACGGCTGATGATACGAACAACTTGATTGGTCTCTACTAGTAGAATTTCTCGATTTTTTCTCGAAGACGTTTCCATAAAATATTAGCGACGAAAGGAGCTTTGAATTTTCGGTTGACATGAAAGTCCTAACCTTCTGTTTTCGCCGTTGCCGACGAGATTATGTACCGCAATACGGCTCTCTCGAATCGTCACAAGGAAACGTAGGCAGAAGTCATAGCGAGGACAGCGAAAACAACGTCAGTGGCATAGTATTTGTTGATTCCAACAATCCTACGGTCAAAGTTTCGGTTGCTCAAGTCCCCTACTGGCTTGCCATTACGACGATTGGCTTTCACCTCTTGCCACAGTATTCTCAGCTGTTGTATTTGACACGAGAGAGCCATGTGTTGGGCAACACTTGTACCACAACATCTGAATGGATTTGGATTTTTTCCGCATCTTTCCTTTGCATCCTCTTCCCTCGCGCTTCGTTGAAACAGGGTAACCGGGCTCGTAATCCACAACGTTTTCCATGCAAATATAGTTTTCCAATTACCATTCTGAGAATGAACATTCTGTGGTATGCAGCAGCGTGTATCGGACCATTTTTTTGGTACGACGATGTCAATCGATTCCAACTGAACTTTCTTGAGCTGTTGAACTTTTTAGGAGCAAAAGCAGCTTGGCCAGCCCTATGGAACTTCAGCCTATTCATTTTGTTTCCTATTCACCGCAATGCTAGCTCCTCCCACACCAACTCCATACTGGATCTGTACCTGCGAATGCCAAATCGTTCTTCTATAGAAAATGTCAGAGGCAATCTTATAAAAACAAAAACAGACTTGCGAGTGGTCCACATTCAATCAGCTATTGCTGCTGCTTTCTGGCTCACAGTTCACGCGGCTTTCATCTCCATCGTATACTGTTGTCGTGCGAATTCATTCCTAGACCTACTCCAAAAAATGTTCCCAATGGTTCTTTTTCTCAATGGGAAATACGCACTCTTCTATACAGAGGGTATTGTAAATTTTGAGGGATGGGTAGCATGTTTAATGCTCCTAGGACTGTGGGTTACAGCTTCAAAGTCTTGTGGAATCCGACAGAAATACTTCGAAGCCTTCGAATCTCTTCATATTCTCTTCGCTGTGGGATTCCTGCTCTTTTCAAACTTGCATGACTACAACACTTTGTTGTTTGCGTGGCCTGGACTGGCCGGTCTTATGGCAGATCGTCTTTGGAGCATGAATCTGGGAAATACATCCTACAGGTATCGCATACGTACGGCGGCAAATAATGACTACATGACTCGCTCATCTCCGCCCTCTGGAACCGAGAAGGTGCTCGTTGGAATGTTCCGAGGCACGGGAAACTTATTGCGACTTACTGTCAGCTTTCCAATGACTTCGACGATAGACAGCGACTTACGAGGGTTAGAGGGACACAAGAACTGCAATCTATCATGCCCCCGTGCTTATGCTGGAATGTATTTCTTGGTCAACGATAAGTCGATCTCTTCGCACCAATGGCATCCGATATCGGTTGCTTCCATTGATCACGAACAACAGACTATCACGCTTTATGTAAAGGACATAGGTGACTGGTCAAATGCGTTTATTGAAAAGTGGCACCAGCAAAGTAACGAGGAGAGGGGTAACAGCGAGGTGCTGCTGAATCTTCGGGGTCCTTTTGGTCCAAACTTGAGCCCTCTGTTGATCGACTCAACATCAAGTGGCCGTAACTTCGTCTTCGTGGCGGGAGGAATAGGTATTACTGGATTATCAGTATTAATTCAGCAGTGTCTAGAGCTGGGTGTGAACTTCACAGTTATTTGGTTGACTCGATCCCGGAAAGAGATGCTTGCTTTAGGGCACGACCTCTTGTGGAATCATCTACTTGGAAAGACACACCCGCACCTCATGACAGTCAAT